TCTTTTAATGTAATATATTTGTTTTCTATTCTACTATGAAAGGGCCCGAACTTCCTTGTTATCCCATTCTAATGGAAGAAAGATTAAACTCCCAGAAAATAATAATGGACATTTGATTACTCAGGGTCCTAGCTATCCTGGAATTTTCCTGATTTTCTGAGAAGGGAACTACTCCTGACATTGATCAGTGACTCATTAATAACATAAGCTTAGAAGAAAGGATCTGCTGTTTTTGTGGAAAAGACTGGAAATGAGATCCAGGCTGGTCTCCATTTACTCCAGAGAACATGTCTAAAGTTAAAGGGGGCTCTTGGCTACACCTCAAACCCCCCACCCAAGGGAAGATTTGCAATTCCTCAGACATGGGGTATTCTGATACATTACCCCTCTCTGCTCCAAGCTAACGAGGGGATCTTCCATTTAACCTGTGAACTACAATAGGGCCAGTGCTGCAGTGCATTTGTTCGACCCATTGTTAGTATAAGATGCGACAATGGTGATTAATGAAAATTTGAAGCCCTTCCTCTTTCACAAGTAAACTTGAAGGTGGACTAATGCTGATGTCTATAAAGACAAAACTCTCTTACATATGCATAAATTTATGGGTTTTAATTGATTCACATTATAGAAATGCCGAAACCTAAATTCTGGCATTAAATAAAAACCAAAGACACTAAAAATGCATGCCAAATCTGTAAGTATCTGAAGGAGTAAGGTTAATGTTTCAGAAATGACTCTCCATCAGAACTGAAATCATGTCTTGTCAGTACATATCCATTATTTATATGTGATGTTTTGCATCAGAAAATCTCTGACCTAGTTTTTCGTGTTGAATATCGATAATGGAAACAAATTGAAATGCAAATGAAAGTATTTGTTATCTAGATGACCTCAGGCTTTCAGATTATTTGAATGAGTGCGAGTTCTTTCTTCTGGTTATAGCAGAAATAATTTTTGTTTTATGTGGTTCCTGGCAGTTTTGAATATCTATCTCTGAGAGGTCCATAGGCCACATCGTGCGCTGGTGCAAAGCAATTTTGGCTTCAGACTGATGTAAAATATCTAACAAATCCTGGCGCTTAAGCCACTCAAATTGAATTTAGGTTGAAGTGCTGTATAAGCTCCTCAAGGAGATACTCACACTCTGCATTGGTTTCACATTCACTGCAGTAGAACTCTACCTAGTGCAAAGCACATGTTTCCTTCTGGTCAAGAACATTCCTGATAGTTTTCTACCATTTCAATGCTAACAAGGAACTGAATTTCTTGTTGTTTTTTTTTTAATGACTGAAATGTAACTGACCAACTCTTCAGTAATTACAGAATATTAGGCATTTGTGTATTACAGTTTTTGGAGGTTTTAACCTTACTGTGTGTGTTAAAGTCAGTGCTGAGTATTGGTTGATCATGATAAAATGTTTGGGAATGAAAATCAACTGATTTCTAAATCAAGTGGCTGATCTGCCACATCAGCTTCCCTTCCAGGTGATTAGCTAAGAATCCACCCTAAGCGTTTCGAGAATACCTTGAATTTACTCGAAGTGGAAAAGTTCACAAAATTTGTATCAGCCAGCTGTGTTCTGAAATGCTTTATGCTCTTTTATTGTGACATTTCAGTGCACACCATTTGGTCTGGATTAAGTATACTGCCCAATGTGAATATGCATGATTTCATCAACAAAAGGAGTCCCATCAGTGGAAAGAAGTGTAATTACACGATTTTGCAAGCTGAATGGAAATTATAAATGATGATCTTATTTGCAGCAAGTCATTAAAATGTTTCACAGGGAAAGTGCATTTGTAGTTGAGGCTCATAATCATGAGATGAATGTACATTTCAACTCATTTATCTGTCAAAATCTATTCATCCCATTGCATCATGCAATTCAGTAATTTCAAAGTTTTTTGCCTTTACCAGTCTATTATTTCCTATGTTGATCATGCTTTGTTTGAAAGAGCAACCAATCATCAGCTTAAAATTTTCCTTCTCTTGTGAGATAGCCACAATTAGTCTCATCCCAAAGTCTCCCGCCTGTATCGTAATTTAAACCAAATCCCATTCACCTATTTGATATTTGTGAACTATATTGGCTACTCGTTTTACATTGGATTTGATTTTATAATCTGGATCCTTATTTTCAAACTCCTCCATTAGCATGCCCTAACTCTGATGTGGAGGTGCCGGTGTTGGACTTGGGTGGACAAGGTCAAAAATCACATGACACCTGGTTATAGTCCAACAGGTTTATTCAAAAAACGCAAGCTTTCATAGCTTTGCTCCTTCCTCAGACATAGTGTGTGAGAGAGAGGGTTCAGACATAGAATTTATAAGCAGAAAGGTAACAACCCTAAAATTGGCCAACCCTTGTTCAATCCCTATTCAGTTAGGATGGAGACTCCTGACTAAAATGCAAAATCCAGATTCCTTTCAAGTCATTGTCCTGAGATAATTAAAGGTTTTACCAATGTATACAAGAGGTGACATCTCAGGTCAGACAATGCATTTTAGGTGTGAAGTCTTGCTTAGAATCTGTCTATGTTTTAAACGAAGGTCAGGTTTTTTTGAGCAAAACAGAATGTATCTGCAACTGCACAAACTTCTTGGATGAAATAATTCATGTGTGTGTGTGAGAGAGAGAGAGAGTAAGTGCATGAGTGTGCGCACGCGCGTATGTGTGGGGTGGGTGGGGGAGGTGGTCTTCTCTTCTACCATCATCCTATATAATGCCAAATCATGTTTGATCATTTTTCTGTGGAGCCAAAAACTGGAAGATGAGATTTGTCAGATCTTTGTTGACTGGCATGAATACAATGGACCGAATGGCTTCTTTCTGTGCCGTAAATGTCGATGAGTTTATGAGAATGCGTTAAAGAAGCAACACAAGTTGTTGTCATTCTGGATTTAACTTTTATATACTTTTTACTATTTCATATATGTCTCATCTCAGTCTCCTTTCCTTTTCAAGGCTGAAAAGACCAAATTGCTGCAGTCATTGCTCATCAATCAATTGTCTCACATCAGGGATTGGCGACATAGCTCTTCCCTGCAGTGCTCCTGAACCTTCAATGCTTCCCTTGTACTTTGATAACCAACACTCAGTTTGAAGTCTGACCAGAGTGCTGCAGTTTCAACATAACACCTCGGCTTGTAATTTAAGGATTTAGTAATACAATTCAGCATCCTATCTACTTTGTTGATTACTGCTCCAGAGTGACTCGACATGTTAAGTGCTGACTGAGTCTGTTAGAGCTCTTTCATTTCACCATTAGTTAGTTCAATGTCATTCAAGATGTCTGTTCCCTGAATCTTTTTTACATTTCTGTCAGTGCCTTGTATCTATCCGTATTAAATTTCTTCCCCAATGATTTCCAGTCTCTACTTCACTTCTTAGGGTGTTGCCAACCTCATCTGATTCTACTGCCCCATTCAATTTAGCATTGTCTGCAAACATAACCAATTTACATAGAAATTCTGATTTATTTAAAAAGAGGAGAAGCCCCGGTCCTTTGATCAGACCTCATATTGAGTTCGGATCTCTAATGATAATTGTGTTATCGCTGTGAGAATTAAGGCAGGGAGTTTGTTTTCAGAAATTAATTTGTAGCCTTTTTGAGTTCCTTGCTTTTGTAATCCATAGCACTTTAACCCAGACATGATGTTTGTAAGATCAAAACAAATTCATTTTTGGTATAATCCTTGAACATTTATTTGCATATAAAACAAAATATGTCTTGGAATGTCTCAAAACTGCTTTGTGCAATAAATTACTTGTATGGTGCTGTTAATTGACACATAGGCAACATTTCATCACCGAATCATGCAATAGCCTGATTTTAAATGGGAGCTTACTCATCAGTGCCATAGTTGGCTCCTTGTCATAGTGAGTGCATATTCTTCCATCTTCATCATTACAGAAGAAAAGGGCTTGCATTTATAAGGTGCCAATCACAATATGAGAACATCCCAAAGTGCTTTACAGTCAAGAAAGTACTTTTGAAGTCCAGTTTCTTTTGCAATGTAGGAAACATGGCAGTCAAAATGCACACAGCAAAGTCCCACATGCAGCAACATGTTAATGATCCGATCTATTTTGTGACTTTGGTTTAGGGAAAGATATTGGCCAGACACCAGGAAGAAATCTTCTGCTTTTCTTCGAAATTGAACCTTATTTATTTTAAATTACAAGAAGCTGACAATTGCATCACCACCTTTTGAGCTCTTTGTCCTGGACGTGTACATACCAAGGCATATCATTGTTGACTGACAAGGATCAAAATCTGTTTCGGTTTCATGGGCTGTAAAGATAACAAGACATGACCAGACTGTTGAACAAAAGCAGGATAAGATTTTTCTTCCATTAAAAGTAATCATTGTCTGATCAAACCATTAGGCTGCTGTCTTATTAACTAGAGACAACTGAGTTGCTGCATTTTTTTCATAGAATCCCTACAATGTGGAAGTAGGCCATTCAGCCCATCGAGTCCACACTGAGCCTCCAAAGACCAGCCCACCCAGAACCTCTCCAGTCCTTGAAATGCTGCATTTCCCATGGCTAATTCACCTAGCACATCCCTGGACACCATGGGGTAATTTAGCATGGCCAATCCACCCATCTTTGGACTGTGAGAGGAAACTGGAGTACCCGGAGGAAACCCATACACAGACACGGGGAGAATGTGCAAACTCCACACAGACAGTCATCCAAGGGTGGAATCGAATCCGGGTCCCTGGTGCCGTGAGGCAGCAGTGCTAACCACTGAGCCATTGTGCTGTCCTTTTGGTGAGGCAAATCAGGGCAGGACTTGTGTACTTACTGGTAGGTTCCTGGGGAATGCTGCCAAACAAAGAGACCATGGGGTGTAGGTCCATAGTTTCTTGAAAGTGGAGTTGCAGGTGGACAGGGTGGTGAAGAAGGTGTTTGCTATGCTTGCTTTTATTGGTCAGTGCATTGAGTTTAGGAGTTGGGATGTTAGGTTGTGGCTGCAAGGACATTGGTTAGGCCACTTTTGGAATAGTGAGTGCAATTCTGGTCTCCCTACTGTAGGAAGGATGTTGTGAAACTTGAAAGGGTTCAGAAAAGATTTACAAGGATGTTGCCAGGGTTGGAGGGTTTGAGTTACAGGGCAAGGCTGAATAGGCTGGGGCTAACTTGCCTGGAGCATTGGAGGCTGAGGGGTGACCTTATAGAAGTTTATAAAGTCATGAGGGGCATGGATAAGGTGAACAGCCAAGGTCTTTTCCCCAGGGTAGGGGAGTCTAAACCTAGAAGGCACAGGTTTATGGTGATAGGGAAAAGATTTAAAAGGGACCTAAGGGGCAACCTTTTCATGCAGAGGGCAGTGCGTGTATGGAATGAGCTGCCAGAGGAGGTGTTGGAGGCTGGTACTATTAAACATTTAAAAGGATGGGTACATGAATAGGAAGGGGTTAAAGGGATATGGGCCAAATGCTGGCAAACTGGACCAAAGGGTCTGTTTCTGTGCTGTACATCTCTATGACAATGGGTAGAGGTTTAACTCAAAGTTCACCACAACTCAGGTGAGTGGGAGATTGAGAAGGAGAGTCCTTTGTGATAAGCTCAGCTAGTGCAGGAACTGAACCAATGGTGTTGGTATTATTCTACATTACAAACCAGGCATCCAGCCAACTGAGCTAACCATTCCCATTATTATCATTGGTTTCAGATTATTCTTACATTGATGTACAAATGAGCAAGTGTGTCATACTTTAGCATTTTTGATGTTTCAGAATTTTAGAATCAAGTAATCTTTCTGGTAAGAGATTTCAAGCACCTAAATTCATGCAGCTTTCTTTTTTCTCTCTCTTCATATTTAGCCATTTGCATCCACATTCCTTATTTCCTCTCTTGTTCTGATTCTTTATTTCTTCTCTTCCTCAATTCTAATTCCTCTCCTCTTCTGAAATATCCAGTGCAGGGCTTATCTGATTTTCTCTCTCCTGATTCGCAGACTGTCTCCTGGTTGCTTCTACTTTGCCATCCAAAGTTCAAGGGTCATTCAGCTTAGAAACATGGAGGATGAATCTCTGCATAACATTGTGTTCCAGATTGGGATAACAGGGAGCAAATTTAACTTTGGGAATGAGTGAAAAGCTATGCTTTTGTTCTTGTCTGAATAACAAAGAAAATGTATGAACATCATTTGTTGCCATCATGCTGTCAGATTGCCAAATGTATAATATAACACAGGTCTCATGCATAACTATGACTTCATGTGAACATTACACTTTCTCGTGGTTATAATTTTTATATCTGCCCTTTTTTTTAGCATATCCCAATCTCACCATGAGCTAGATAATGGGACACCTGTTAGTACTCAATAGATTTTGTTTTACTGAGTCATAACTGTTCCAATTATTCTCCTTGAAATCTTCACTGAGTCTCAGAATTACAGTTCACAATATGATAATCTGATTTCTGGATTTCAGTTACTTATCTAATCTTAAAGAAAATGACCAGCATTGATAATTGTAATACAGTAATATAACAGATTGCTGAGATAGCATAAAGAGTTTCCTTCCAATAAGTTGACAACATTTTAATGTTTGTATCTTTGAAGTAGTCTTGGGAAATGAATAAAAATGTTAAATATACTGAGCAAATTTAGCTTTTTCTAAAATTTCTCACAAACAATCGAGACTTAAGTTTATTTCAATCTATGATCTTTAACGCAAATGCAGACAAGATGATTATTTACCATTCGTCGCAACTCATTCAGCCATTTATCAGTTTTTGATATTATCCATTAAGAACTGCCTTGCAAGGCAATAAACTAGAAAGCTCAATACTTTGTCTTGATATTCATAAGTGCTTGACTTATCCACAGTCTTGCTCTGCATATCTGGATCAACAATATCTTCAATGCAAGCTCATTAACTGCTTGAGATTTTGAAACTAATGTGTATATTAGTTGGCTTTTTGCCTTCAAGGCAAAAGAGATAATCCTTCAATATTTTTACATTGGTTATAAAGGAATTTTGTACTTATGAAGAAATGAATGTTGTGTAGACTTGGCTTGTGTTCCCAATGAATGTGAAAGTTTAAGGGGTCATAAAGTCGTACTGTTCCAATTGAAACTTTTCAAGTGATGAAAAGGATTTGTAGGTGGATGGAGAGAAACTGTTTCCTCTCATGGGAGAAGTCTAGTACTAGGGGTTAGAACCTTAAAATTTAGATCGCACTATTTAGAAGTGCTGTCAGGAACGACTTTTTGACATAAAGAGTCATGCAAATTTGGAACTTTGTGCCCTCTCCTTCCACAAAGAAACAGATATTTAGGCTGAAATTGAATTCATTTGAAAAACTCAAAGTAGAATTTGAAAGGATGTTTTTTAAGCAAGCATAATTTGGAACAAGTGGTAGTAGATGCAGTTAACTTACAAATCAGCCATGAATCCTAATGGTTCCTAACACATCAATATCCTTTCCTATATAATAAGCATTCAAAGCTTCAATTCAACTTTCCCAACATGGTGAACATTTTATGGCTGCAGTTTGCTTTTCTCTGTCCTTCAGCAGAATCATATCAGATATCTTTTTTTATGTGTCTGAAACTCTAGAACATTATAGAACAGTCAAATACTTGAATAGTTCCTCCCGTACCCAGACCATAATCCTACAACACTGGAATCACAAGGGAATTCCAGGCACCATAGCACAATGTTATCAGCAGCTGGTAATGATTCAATAAAATAGAGACAGCTTGCAAGCATTTTGCTAGTCATCTGCTGTTAAACTGAATGCCTAATAAGAGTATAAGGCTGACAGAAATACCAGGTCTTTTTTTACCATCTCCTCATGTCTGTACATAGTCAAATGTATTCAGAAATGGCAAGTATCAGCTGTGTGTTAAAGTTGTAATTTAGCTGAATTGATTCTGAGCTCGAGATCTTTATTTTACACCCATTGTGAATCTACGTTTGGATGATTGCAGTTGTGTTTTATTGTCTGTCTTTTGACAAATACAAGGTATGGTACTGAAACCAAAATTGAAAATGTGCATTTTGAGGAAAGTTTCAGGCTTGAAGCACCTTCTATTTACTACACACAACAGAGGGATAGCATTCAGCCCTTCAAACTGCTTTAATTCAACTAGATCAAGACTATTCTCTACCTTACCTTTCAATTCCTAACCATTAATGCCTTGCAGCGAAGATTTCCCAATTTACTTCAGTAAACACAGTGTGGAGCTGGAGGAACACAGCAGGCCAGGCAGCATCAGACGGAGCAGGAAAGCTAACATTTCGGGTCGGGACCCTTCTTCAGAAGACATTTGTAATGTAATGTGTAATGTAATACCAATCTCAAAAATTGGACTAATGATCATTCTTGTAGGACGATAGGCAAAGATTTGATCAGAACTGAAAATGCTGGAGAAACAAAGCAGGTCTGGTAGCATATGTGGAGAAGGAGAGTCAACATTTTGAGTCCAATATGACTGTACATTAGAACTGCAGAATAGAATGTGATGATGAATCCTATCGGACTTGAAACATTACCTCTGTTTCTCTGCCAAGAGATGCTGCCAAATCTGTTAAGTTCTCCAGCACTTGCTATTTTTATTTCAGATTTACAGCATCTGCAGTATTATACTTTTATTTGAAGGATTTTCACAAAGTGTGATCACTAATACTTTGGCTGTCAATCTTGCAGAATTCAAACGAAACAAGAATAAACAAAACAGGTGCTTCATTGGATGGACTGAACAAAGCTGGAGCCAATAGTCTGGTTATAATGGAGGCTTTGCCTCAATTTGGCATGAGCACTGCACTAGATTCAGAAAGAATCTTTAGCCAGCTTTTCTGCATTGTCTTTCCATCTTCTTTCTGATCCCACAAAACAACCATTACTCCCCAACATATGAAGGACTTACTGGCAAACTGCTTTTTGGACTGTACCTGTGGTGCTGCAACAGCTGCTCGCAGGATTGTCTTGTATTTCCTTTTGTCTCAGGTACCAATCGACTTAGCACTGTCAGTTCTAAGCCACCTGCTAGGCCTGCAAGACTGGCAAGTGTTGGTCCGTTTATGAATTAACTCAACTGGAGCTTGACTGTGGAGTGAAAACATGAGCTGGAAACAGCAGATGAATTATTTCAATCACAGCATTAGGAAGGCAACACGTCTTGATTTCTATCTGTGCTGTACGGAAGCTGAGTTATTGTGTCAGGGCTTTATCAGATTTAAATGACATGCATCTCTGAGGGAAAGAGAACTTTCTTTAAAAAAATTCTTCCAACCTTTCTTCTTAACCAAATTGCTATTTTAAAGGATTAAGCTAGTTCTGGCCCTGACTAGCCATATAAATACAGTGGCATCAAGAGCAGTTCAGATGCTTAGAATACTGCAGTGAATAACTCACTTTCTGACTCCCCAAAGCCTGTTCACTGTCTGCCAAGTCAGGAGTGTGATAGAATACTCTCCGCTTGCCTGGATAAGTGCAGCTCCAACAATACTTAAGAAGCTTCACACCATGTAGGACAAAGCAGCCTGCTTGTTTGAGACCATGTCCACAAACATTCACTCCTTCCATCACCAATGCTCAGGAGCAGCAGTATGTACCATCCACGAGATGCACTGCAGAAATTCACCAAGGCTCCTTAGCCAATGCCTTCCAATCCCATGACCACTACCACCTAGAAGGACAAGGGCAGCAAATACATGCAACTCTAGTCTCCCAGCCTGTCTTGATCCCTTGCAATTTTCCTACCAATATAACGAGTCCACAGTGGATGCCATATCCCTAGACTGGCAGTCTTCCCTGGAAAATCTGGACAACAAGGACAACTACGTCAGACTCCTGCTCATCGACAACATCTCCGCCATCAGCACCATTATCCCCTCCAGACTGATCTCAAAACTCCAAGACCTCGGTCTCAGCTCTGCCTTCTGAAACTGGATCCCCCAGCTTCCTGACCCATAGACTACAATCAATGAAGATAGACAACTGCACCTCCTCCACAATAATACTCAACAATGGAGCTCCCCAAGGATGTG